AGCTGACACCATAACATGTTTTCATATCACATGTGACCCTAGGCAAGTCACTTTACTTCACTAAGCCTCAATTTCCTTACCTGTGAAATGGAATTAATAATACCCAAATCACAAGGCAGTTCTGAAAAAATAAATGTAGAAAGTGTTTGATATGGTAACAGACACATGGGGGGGCTAAAAAATGCAAGCAATTACTACTCCTTTAATGTCAAATCTGTACATGTAAAATGAGACCAGATCATGACGCATGCCAAAAGACTGTAGGGGTCTCCATTTCATCCCCCAGGCCTAGAAAGCCTATAAGGTTTTATAACAGTGAAATGAAAACAACTGTCTGGTAGCAGTGCACAAAAGCAGAGCCTGGAGACTGAGAACCTCTAAGACAGCTAAGGCATCGAGTAATGAGAGCCTGATCTGGAAAGGCAGTAGGGATTGAGGAGAAACAGATATGACTCTTTCAAGAAAGAATGAATAGAAGATGAAAATGACTAAGGGATAAAGACAGGGACAGGGGAGATTTACATGCTGACAGCAGGCCAATACAGTAAGGTAGTTAAGGGGCTTTGAAACAGTACTGACATGAGTTTAAAGCCCGCCTTCCACTTATAAGTTGTGTGTTCTTGGACAACAAACCCATTCTCTTTGAACCTATTTGTAAAATGGAGATAATGCTAGTTTTCACAGGACTATGAGGTGTTTAGCACATGGTAACCACTCAATAAATGGTATCCATATTTAAATGCACAGCTTTCTCATGTTTTTATGAGCCCTCTGCTTGGACACGCTCTCCTCTTTTGGTCAATTTTAATCCTCTTTTAAGAGTCAGCTTAAGATCTACCCTTTCCCTCCTTGTATAATCACTTCTTTAACAGGATGTACTACCAAGTCTTACAGTTTCCAGTTTACCTTATCTGTCTCCTGCCCCTCCCCACATGGAATTGGGAGTTCTTTTTTTTTTTTTTAAAGCAGGATTTATTAAGAGGACAGAAAAACTCCCACAGTGGGAGGGGACCCGAAGGGAACCAGGAGATCTTGACAGCAGAAATGGAGTGCTATTTACTCTCTTCTACCCAATAGTAGATAATTAGCACATAGCTTGCTTTGAAACTTTTGTTTAGTAATGGGGAAAATATGTAAACATATAAATCTAGCTACTGCCGGGCTCGGTGGCTCAGCCTGTAATCCCCCGCCTTTGGGAGGCTGAGGTAAGTAGATTGCCTGAGCCCATGGGTTCAAGACCCTCCTGGGCAGCAAGACTTCATCTCTACAATAAAGCAAAAAATCAGCCGGGCGTGGTAGCACATGCCTGTAATTCCGGCTACTTGGAAGGCTGAGGCGGAAGGATCACTGGAGCCCAGCAGGTCGAGGCTGCGGTGGCCGGGAGCGGCCACTGCACTCCAGTCTGGGCGACAGAGTGAGACTCCAACTCAAAATAAATAAATAAAAAAATCTAGTTACTTAAGACATTTTCCACCTAAACTTTCCATATCAGTACAGTCAAGCTTTAAATTCAGCAAACATTGGTATTTTAGATTTTCCCCTGCTATACACAATACATCAACACCAATTCAATTTGAAGGCAATTCAATTTGAAGGCAATGTTTTGGAAACAAAAAAGTCCCCACCCACAAGCAATCAACTACAAGTAAGCTTCCTGAGGGCAGGGGCTACTCTTCACTGCTCTATTTTCTGCGTCTAGTTTAGGACCTGGGACAGAGTAGGTGCCTCCCCCCCAACATCTGTTAACCAGTCAGTCATTCAGCAAATGGTATGACATGGCAAAACTACAATGCACAATTAATAGTCTCTTCCACACAACACACCAAGAAAGGCCAACCTACCCCCTGAAGGTATTTTTGTTGACAAAATCCTCAACTACCTAGAAATGTCAAATACTAGAGTAAGTGTGTAAACATCTAAAAATAATAATCTGCTCAAGCCTATAATCCCAGTATTCTGGGAGGCCGAGACGAGAGAATTGCCTGAGCTCAGGAGTTCAAGACCAGCCTGGGCAACTTGGTGAGACCTTGTCTCTACAATAAATCAAAAAATAAGCCAGCAGTGGTAGCGCACGTCTATGGTTCCAGCTACTTGGAGGGCTGAGGTGAAAGGATTGCCTGAGCCCAGCAGGTAGAGACTGCAGTAGCCGTGAGTGTGCCGCTGCTCTCCAGCCTGGGCAACAGAGTGAGACTCTGACTCAAAAAATAAAAGTCTATGTCATCTGGTCTTCCTTTAAATTCATAAACACTTACCTCAAGTCTGGGGCCTTAGCACTGCCTGGTGTTCCTGTATCTTCGTAGTCCACGAGTGCTCCCACGTTCCCACATCACTCTGCAGACCTTATCCTCCCTCCAATTTTCACATTTCCTCCTTCATCCTCTCTCTCAGGGAATGGCCTTGCTTTGTATTTCCTTCTAATCTGTTACTGTGAACCAGTGATTCTCAAGAGTTTTACTGAACAGCCCACTTTGGGTGGGGATGGGGAGGATGAGCAGAGAATGTTGTAAATCTCTCAGACCTCTAAATGCTGAAATGACCCAGGGCTCAGTCCCTGAACCACTCCCTTGGCTCATGGCTTTAAATGCCATTTATACAACTCCCACATCCATAGCTTCAGTTCAGACTTCTCTTCTGAACTCATTTCACATATATTATTGCATATGACATTTTCATTTAGAAATGTAATGTGCAAAACTAAAAACGATTTCAGATCTTCCTTCCTCCTCTCTCACACTGCTCTGGCCTTTCCCACTTCACTGAGTGGTACCGTCTTACCCTCTAGTTGCTCAGAACGTGACCTTCAGAGTCATCCTTGACCCTTCTACCTGATTGCTCTAGCTTCAAAGTAAATTAAGAAGCTGGGCATGGTGGTTCACGCCTATAACCCCAGCACTTTGAGAGGTGAGAGGATTGGCCTGAACCCACGACTCTGAGACCTACCTGGGCAACTTGGCGAGACCTCATCTCTACAAAAATCAAGAAAAATTAGCCAGGTGTGATGGTGTGCGCCTGTAGTTCCAGCTACTTGGAAGGCTGAGGTGGAAGGATAGTCTGAGTCTAGCAGTTCAAGGCTGCGATGGCTGTGAACATGCCACTGCACTCCAGCCTGTGCAACACAGTGAGACTACAGCTCAAAAGATAAAAAATTTTAAAAATAAGTCGAGAGTTTGCTCATTTTGCACCACCTCCACTATTACCACCCTGATTCAGGTCACCTTGACCATTAACCTGGATGAATGCAATGGCCTCCTGACAGCTCTCATTATCTCTATACCTGTGGCTTACGGCAATCAGAAAGACTCTTAAACCACAAATTAGATAACTTACTCCTTACTCAAAACCCATGTCATTCAAAGTAAAAACTAAGGTTCTTACAAAGTCCGACATGGTCCTACATGACCTGGCCCCATCTCCAGCGGAGCATCTACCACTTCTTTCCCAGCCAACCTAGCTGGTACGCTTCCACCTCGGGGCCTTTGTAGCCGCCCTTTCCACACGACACCCTTTTTTCACTCTCAGGACTCCACTGAAATATCTTTTCGGTGGCCACCTCTGCCATCTCTATCCGCCCTGCCCAACCCCCCTGCCCAACCCCCCATAGCATTCTCTGGATCCCCTTCATTGCTGCATTTTTTCCCTCTAGCACTTTTGACCACTTGACATACAGTCGGCCCTCCACATCCGTGGGCTAGGCATCCTTGGATTCAACCAGTCATGGATGGAAAATATTCCAGGGAAAAAAAGCTGTGTTTGTATTGAACATGTACAGACTTTTTTCCTTGTTACTGTTCCCTAAACAATACAGTATAACAACTGTTTACATAACACTTACATTGTATTAGGTATTATAAGTAATCTAGAGTTAAGCATATGGAAGAATGTACATAGGTTATATGCAAACACTACACCAGTTTACACAGGGGACTTGAGCATTTGAGAATTGTGGTGCCTGAGGGAGGTCCTAGAACCAATCCCCCAAGAATACCGAGGGTCAGGGATGACTGTACTTTAATTTTTGTATTAATGATTACTCCCCCCCCCAAAGTGAACTTTATGATGGCAGGAATTTTTGTAGTTTTGTTCACTGTTTAATTTACAGTTTAGTCCAGTGCCTGGCACATAGCAGGTATTCAGGACTTTGGAAATTAATGAAACGACCCCACACTTGAAGTGTGTGCACTATCCTAAAAACCCCAAATCATACAATCCCACCCTACTCCTTTCCCCCAATTTTAAGTAGCATACCTTTGAAGATCAAAGCACATGTTTAAATCGAGTGTAAAATTCCTCTCTAATACTTCCCAAAATTCAACCAACAACTCCCTCTATGGAAACTGCAAATAGTCCAGTTCACAGCCAAGCACCCCCCGTCTCAAGGACTCAGAGATTTACCCAGCGAATTCTGGAAGGCCTTGGAAGTTCAGCTGCTGTTTGCTAAGTCTCTGGGTTCTGATTACTCACGACATGCTGTGCCTGCTCACCCCTCGGAACAATCTAGAACCAACAGCCGCTTCGGTTCCTCAAGTTCAGGTATGGCTTGGAAATAACCCAAAGTATAACTTGAGAGCATTAAAGTGTTTTGCCAACAGAAAATGGCTTTGTGGGCACGAAATCTGATTATGAAACTGACACGTAAGGAATGCGGTGTAAGAGTTGGGAGACAATCGAACTGCCCCGGGCAAGAACCAAGGGTTCAATAACTGTTTCCACAACGAAGGTAGCGGCTGCAGCCAACTCCGGAGCCTGCCACGAGACCCCGGGTTTCCTACCTTCCCCGAGAGGGACCTCGCAGGCCACGCCCTCCAGCCGGCTCAGGGCTCGGGGGCGGCGTCTCGCCAACCACACCTCTGCCCCGAGGAGCCACCGTCCCCCGCCATCACCGTCCGGCAGCGCCCCTCCAGCCAGCCCTCGCCCCTCCCCGACCCTCCTCCTCCAGGCAGTCCCCCACTCGGGGACACACATCACACACACACACACACACACACACACACATACCCTACCCGAAGCGCCGGCTCCCCGCACCGGTAGCAACGCTCGATTGCGAGCTGTCTGTCCGACCCGCCGTCCTGCGGAGACGCTGGAGCAGGACCCCGAACACCCGCGCAGCCGCAGAAGGCACCGGTGCGAGGTCCGAGCCGGACCCCGCTGCACTTCCGCCCTCCGGGATCCCTCGGAACACCACCAGCGGCGCCGCGGAGCCGGGGAAGCTCACAAGTCCAGTCACCCTCGGCGCCCGGAGATGACGTCACGGAACCACGTGGCCCGGACTCCGCCCCCCCCCCCACCCCCGCCCCGCCCCGCTAGGAGGCCGGAGCCGCTCTTGAGCATGCGTAGACTGTCTGAGCCTTATAGGCGCTCGGAGAGGTGGCCGAACCGTTCCAAGTTCAGAACTTCTCCGATCTTCTGAGGGTCTCGCGCTAAAGCGTAGTCATTGGTGCTTTGGGAGGTTAATGTGACAGTTCTGTAAAAACAGAGTTTCCAAATTACTGAAACACGAGCCGGGCTAGGTGGCTTATGCCTGGAATCCCAGAACTCTGGGAGACTGAGGCCGGAGGATCGATCGTTTGAGCCCAAGAGTTCGAGATCAGCCTGGCAACATAGCGAGACCTTGTCTCTGCAAAATAAAAAATTTTTAAAAATTAACTGGGTATAGTGGTACGCGCCCTGGAGTCCCGTCTACTTGAGAGGCTGAGGTGGAAGGATCACCTGAGCCCAGGAAATCGATGCTGCAGTGAACTGTGATCATGCTACTGCACTCCAGCCTGGGAGACAGAGTGAGACTCTGACTCAAAAAAATAAATAAATAAATAAAAATAAAATTACATATATGTGTACATATATATGTATGTACAGTATATATATACTGCCTCTCTAGAACTTGATCACAGCATCCCTCTCTTCCTGGCATCACGTAACAGTATTAATAAAACATTAGTTTTCAATGTACTTTCACACCCATTTTCTCATTTGATCGTATTTTCAACTTTATTGGAACCACAGCAGGCATTAGTAGCTGAATTTAACAGAAGACAGTATGAGTACTGAACCCTTTCATCCATCCAAAAGTGCATATTTTTATCTTGCTGTTTGTGAAAATAAGTAATTAATAAAACTACTCTAAAAAACTGTTTGAAGCTGGACGTGGTGACTCACGCCTGTAATCCCAGCACTTTCGAAGATGGAAGCAAGGGGATTGCCTGAGCCCAGGGGTTTGAGATCAGCCTGGGCAACTTGGTGAGACCTTGTCTCTACAATACATCAAAAAATTAGCCAGGCGTGGTGGCATGTGCCTGTGGCTCCAGCTACTTGGAAGGCTGAGGTGGAAGGATCGCCTGAGCTCAGCAGGTGGAGGCTGCGGTGGCTGTGAGCATGCCACTGCACTCCTGCCTGGGCGACAGAGGGAGACTTCTGCTCAAAAAAAAAAAAAAGAATGTTTGAATCGGATCTATCCAAAGTATTAATTACCAGGCATTTAAGTTTTTCCTCTTAATTAGACTTGCCCTAATGCCATGCATGCCAAATAAATACTGTGCTGAAACTCAAAAAAGGTTCCTGATATTCAAGAAGAAAAGGAAAATTCTAGTAGTAGCCACAGGATTCCTTTTAAAGTAAAAATCTTCTTGGAGGTTGACTAGTACAATGATTTTTTTTTGAGTTGGAATCTCACTATCACCAAGGCTGGAGTACAGTGTCATGCTCACAGCCACCACAGCCTCAACCTGCTGAGCTCAGATCCTTCTGCCTCAGCCTTCCAAGTAACTGGAATTACAGGCATGTGCCCCATGCCTGGCTAATTTTTTGATTTATTGTAGAGATGAGGTCTCGCCAAGTTGTCCAGTCTAGTCTCAAACCGTGGGCTCCAGACAATCCTCTCACCTTGGCCTCCCAAAGTGCTAGGATTATAGGCATGAGCCACCACACCTGGCCTACAGTGATTTTCAAATGGTGAATTACAATCCATTGGTGGGTCATCAAATCAAGTTAGCGGAGCATAACTAGCATCTTTTAAAATGAAATAAAATAGAAAATGTCAGCATGCCTCACACATGCAAAGGATAAATACTGTTTCCTGAAATTTTCACTTCAGTACGTATGTGGTATACACTGGGAAGGAGTGTGAGATATATCTCTTAGCAGTAAAAGTTTGAAAGCCACATTTCTGGTCCACTTCACCTCCTCAATTCTGAAATCCCCTCTATAGTGTCCCAAGCAAACAGCCAATAGCCTCTGTTAGAAAACTCTTGGAATTAAGGTACATGACTTTTCTCATGGGAGACAAAATTTGCTTTTGAATTTTGTATACAGAATTTGCTTTGAAATGTACCAAAAAAATAAGATGGATTAAGGGATGGATGGATGGATGGATGGATGGATGGATGGATGGATAAATATGTGATTAACCAAGTACAGTAAAATGTAATGGTAAAATCTAGGTGGTGGGTTCATTGTAAGTTGGTATTTACTATAAAACACTTTCAACTATACTGTATGTTTGAAATTTTCCCTAATAAAACATTGGAGGAAAATTGTGTATCAAGAACCCTAATAGGAGGTGGCAGATGCCTGTAATTCTGGCACTTTGGAAAGCAGAGGTGAGAGGATTGCCTGACCCCAGGGTTCAAGACCAGGCTGGGCAACATGGCAAGGCCTCATCTCTGCAATAAATAAAAAAGTTAGCCAGGCGTGGTGATGTTCACCTGTAGTCCTAGCTACTCAGGAGGCTGAGGTGGGAGAACCTCCTGAGCCCAGGAGGTTGAGGCTGTAGTGAGATGTCATGGTGCTACTGCATTCAGCCTGGGCAACACAGTGACACCCTGACGTTAAAAAAAAGCCAATAGTATCAAATGTTCTGTATCTCTTCCGAGCACTGAGGCCATTCTGTGCTTCTACACATCATTCCTGGACAGCCCATCACTACATCTCCTCTTCCTCACTTGGCATATACTCCTCCTCTTTAAGACTCACTTCATGTTTTGGAAAGCTTTTTCTGCCCCATCCAATTCAGCTTCCTCAGTCATGTTTTGGGCCCCCAACGCCCACCATAATGCCTGGCATTCAATCAGTGTTTGTCAAAATAAATGATACTGAACATGTACGCTCTTCCAGAATTCCTGTCACTTTCAATTCACAAAATCGTTCCCCATAGCTTAGTGTTGAGGTGAAAAGTAGCCACTTCCTTTATTACTTCATGAATTTCTGAGTGATAAAATCTCAAGGAATGTTGAAAGAAGGTCAGGCACAGTGGCATATGCCTATAATCTCAGTACTTTGGGAGGTCAAGGCAGGAGGATTGCCTCAGCCCAGGAGTTCAAGACCAGCCTGGGCAATATGGCAAGACCTCAACTTTAGCCCCCCCCCCCAAAAAAATTAAAAATTAGCTGGCCATACTGGCACACACCTGTAGTTCCAACTACTTGGAAGGCTGAGGCAGAAGGACAAAACCTGAGCCCAGCAGGTCGAAGCTGCAGTGACCAAGAGAATGCCACAGCATTCCAGCATGGGCAACCAACAGAGCGAGACTCCAACTAAAAAAAAAAAAAAATGTACCAAATGAAGAAAATACAGAACATATACACGATGGAATGTTACATAGCCATAAAGAGGAACAAAATCATGATCTTTGCAGCAACATGGATGCAGCTAGAGACCACCACACTAAGCAAACTGTCATAGAACTAGCCCAGGTGTTCAAGACCAGCCTAGGCAACATAGCAAGACCTCACCTCAACAAAACGTTTTTTAAAAACAGCTAAGCATGGTGGCACGTGCCTTTGGTCCCAGCTACTTGGAAGCCATAATTGTGCCATTGCATATCAACCTGGGTGACAGAGTGAGACTCCAACCCCAAAAAACAAACTAACAAACTCAGACCCAGATGATGGGGAAGGAATTAACCCTCATCCACCTTGATTTCTTTTGGAGCTATGATTATCTATGGGGAAAAAAAACAACTAAGAATTATACATAATCAAATTAGCCTTAGTCAGAGAGCGATGACATAGTTTCTTTAGCCCTTAATTTTTTTTTTTTTTAAGTCTTGCTGTGTTGCCCAGGCTGGCCTCGAACTCTCGGGTTCGAGCAATCCTTCCACCTCAGCTGTTTTTAGACTCACAAAAAAAGTGTTTTTAACGGTAATATGCCCTCCCTCCCCAAAAAAGGGATTTCTGGCTTATGCTAACAACCCTAGGCCCACATTCCCACATAGCAACCCGGAGCTGGGGATGAGTGCCTACTGCCCTCTTTTACGATGGGCATGCGTTTCCCAGTGTGCCACTGTGCCAATGGGCACACCCTTCACAGTGTGCCATTGTGCCCTTGCTGTCACTTCTTGGGGTCACCCACCTGAGCGCTTCAGCGTCAGAGTCTGGCATTTTGTATTTTGAAAGTACTACCTGTCTCAGCCTATTCCATGTAGATGCCAATGTTGCTGAACAAAGGGCCACAATCATCAGTCCAGAATGTGTTACACTGAAGAACTTAGCACAGTTGATTGTGAATGTGATCATATTTATTATTAGGGTGAACTGAGGCAGGGTGGGTGGTGCCGTGGGATAAAGCAAAGATTTGCAGAGATAAAGCAAAGGAATGTATTCACATTTCGAACAGATTCCAAACGGGACTGGCAATGAGAGACAGTGTGGCCCAGGGGTTGAGGAAGGAGGGCTTTTAAAGTTGTAATCAAGAAGACAGGGTAAAGAAAACTCTCCAGCAGCTTCATCCCTGAGTATTGATAACACCGGTCTTGTGTCCTTGGCGTTGGCAGGGCAACCAGTCCCGTGACTTCAGGGCCTTCAGCCTCTGGTAGGTTGGTGGGTAGTCACGTTAGGCTGATTACAGTTAGGTCAGTTTGGCCTGGGTAGCTGGTAAACAAAAGCTTAGAATAGACAAACTTGGGAGATGTAAACAATTTTTTCTTTTTTTTTTTGGCTGATTCAGAGTCTCACTCTCTTGCCTGGGCTGGAGTGCAGTGGGATGCTCACAGCCACCACAGCCTCAACCTGCTGGGCTCAGGCAATCCTTCTACCTGAGGTTTTCAAGTAGCTGGAACTACAGGTACGTGCTGCCAAGCTCGGGTAATTTATTTATTTTAGAGACAAGTTCTCGCCAGGTTGCCTGGGCTGGCAATCCACTTGCCTCGGCCTCCCAAAATGCTAGGCTACCAAGCCTGATCCCCTTTGCTGTTCTTAAGTGCTATTTTCACTTGAGCAAGCATATAGT